ATTTCAATATTTTTGTGCAGCAAAATCAATATTCATATTCATTGAAATAGCTAACTAGAAAGAGATATGAATTGTTTGTATACTTTTTTTTGTGTGAGGTCAATAGGTTAATTACACAAGGTAAAACTCTAAATTGTCTAGAAATTACTGAACTGTATAAATAAACAAAGTATCCTGCTAAGTGTATTTAATGTCCATGCAATTTATTCTTTTTCATTCTGCGATATTGCTGAAAGAGCAGTGGGAATTTTTGTAGCAATTTTCTGTGCTTTGTGCTTGAGAAAGTCTGCAGCCTCAATCATTTGTATTTGAAGTTGACTAGGATAAGTCAAAGTGCTCACATTTTTTTAACAGCTTCTGAGAGTGTTTAGCTCAGGGGCAGGAAGAAGAAAAACAAATATTCCTTACGAATATTTTGTCTTGAAAACATTTCCTTTAAAGTACAACTATGTGTGTGGTCAGATGGAAAAAGCATACACAAGTCTACTGACAGACATGTCTTTAAACACCCAATAGTTAATGAACACTGTCCTTAATGGAAATTGTTCTGATCAAAGCATCACTTACTTAAAAAGCCTACCTGAGAATTTAAACTTCTGTAGAAGCTTATAATTTGTGCTCAAAAGTTTAGAAGTGTAGTCAGTAATACAGATGTTAACGGTATGATGAAAAACTCTGTTTAAAAACTATATAAAAACAATCACTAATTTCCAGAGAGTTTTGTCCATTTAAACAAAACGCATTATCAAATTAGATGATAACAAAGACTGTATTCTCTTATTGGTGACAGCAGTGATGCTTAAAACATGCTAGCACTGATAGTAATTGTAGTTTCGGTTTGCCCTAGGAATTACCTGAACTAAACTCAGGTCATCTGTGTCTCGGACTCTTATACTAAAGCAAAACTTGAAAATGAATTAATTTGCTGTACATGAAACTCAGTTAAGCAAGTGTTCATTCAATGAGAGCTGGTCTTCTTTTAAAAGATCATTCATGGAAACACAAATATTTCAGGCAAGAGGACAGAAACCCAAGGCCAGCTCGTGCAAGGAACGTATGGACTTTTGCATTAACAGATTCTAAAGTAAAAATATCCAGGCCAAGGTAGCAAGGGTCCCCTACATATAGAAACTCTATGAAACCTTTAGAATTAATTTCTCTCCAGTTAATTCCTCTAACACGATGTGTTGCAGAATGGCTCCAAGAGCAAGGCCATGGATCCTTAGAGGCCTTGTGCGAGCAAAGCAAAGTGTAGGCCTCACAGGTAACCGGAAACTGGATGTGGGAGGAGAATGTAAAGGAAGCTGTGTAAAACTAACCAATGCTGTTGTGACTAGTAGGCGTGGCTAACAGCACGCGGATATAAGCAATGTGTGCCATGAATAAAGTAGAAGCTTGCTTATCACCCATATTGGGTGGGCGTGTCTTGCTTCTCCTCACTGCTAACAACTATGGGTGTTCAAAATGTTTCAGTATTAAATGTAGGAAAATGTTGCTCTAGGAAATTAGATTTGTTACTGTAAGTGCTTTAATTCTGAATATTTCTCCCTCTCCTTTTTTTTATCTTGTGGGATGATATTGAAAATCAGAGTTTTATCTTTTCTCCAGCACTTGTTATACCTCTTGTGTCACAAGGGTAAACAGTAGCCATCATTAAACTTACAGAAACTTACAATTTTTATTATAGGTATGATCACTCTTATTTTAGAGGTTGTGTTTGATAAGACTGATCTCCATTGGAATTGTTCCTTCATCTATATCAGCAATTGTTACCTTGTCAGAAATGCAAAAAGTGAAATTTTATGAAAAAAAGTCTGAGCAATGGCAATATGGTGTACAGTTTCTTTCATGTTTTATGCATCAAAGATGGAACAATATTTTAAAAAGAAATTATGTTTTGAGCAACACAAAATCAATCTTGGCATATAGCAAAAGAAACTACCATTAAAAAAGCTTCCTCCCCCCCCCCCAATTTTTTTATCTTGATGAGTTTATCATAGTGCATTCCCATTTTCTGCATTTGATATATTTTCAGCAATGATACCTGACATGACCAGTGCCTATGCAACTTTGAAGATTTAGTGTTTATGAAAGTGAAACCAAGGTATTCTATTGGACTGTTTTGTGTCAATACAAGCCAGCAGAGAGGGCAACTTCTGGTTCTTCTAACTATGTGATCATGATGGATTAAATGCCATATTTTTTTACATAGGCACCACAAACTGTAGGAGAATAAGTGTTATAAATCTGAACATACCCAACCGATGTGTTGAAAGTGGTCACTTCTCAAAATAAATGACACTCAAGAATATGTAAAATTTTATTTTCCTAGTTTAAACATTTGTTGCATTTATTACTCAGCAAAGGACTCTTGTTAGTTATTGTAATATATATAGATTGGCACCAGCTACATATGCATATTCCTCTACTTCTCATAGACGTTTATCATTATATGGCTACTAATTGCACACCTATCACTTTTATGGTCCAAGCCATATTGTTTGTGTTATTTATATCAAGTAAGCATCTTGTCTTGCACAAAGGGAAACAATACAATGTTTTGTGTTAAGATACCACTTCTTCAAAACTGAGTTTGCATATGGAAATTATCCAAAGTAGAACTGTGGTGATGAAGGCAAATTCCAGTAGTGCCAAGGCACCTAACGAATATTTAAATAATACTGAAGCACATCAGCCTGAAATTGTGGCCTTAGCCAATCAGGCGTGTCACAAGTGCACATGTACATTTCTTCTTTCTTTGATTCCTACAGAGCTAGCTTTCACACTACATCTCTCCCTCATTAATAGTGTTGCAAGTACTTTTAATCCTGCTTCTTTGCAGGTGTAAAAACTCTAGTAACTTGAGCAAGTCCACACATTTCTCCTACAAATGCTCTATTTGGATCCTGGAAGGAGGATGATTCCATTGGAGGCCTCAAATGTGTTTAATATGTGTTTTTTAAAATATTTTACAACTGTAAAATTAACTAACTGCAATCACAGCACTACATGATGAAAATTGAAACTAGAAAGATCATGTGTACTTTTTAATTGCTCAGGAATGAAAGCTCTTTCAATGAGAAACCTGAATTCAGTTTCTTGGCCTGAATGTCTCTTGTAAGATTGTCCTAATTAAAAGGACAGAAATATTTCAGATCTCCTACTGAATTTTAGAAAACGGACAGCTTTACGAGATCAAAGTTATTTAAATCAGTTTTAAAACTATAAAGAGTATAAAATAAGGCTTTGCTTTGAAAAATTGAAATGAGCAACAAAAAAAATGTTACTTCATATACTACATTTGAAAATTTGATTGTTGTTGTTGTTGTTGTTGCTCTAAGGTCTTTGTATGAGGTAATGAAAGATAAAATTTAATCATTACTTTTTGTTGACTTTGTTACCAAATTATGCTTTGGGAATTTGTTCCAAAATATTACTAGAGAATAATTAATATTACCTGTGTAATCTGAGCATACGAATTGATACCTAAAATTGTATAGTATCATCATAATAGTATTATTGAACCTATATAAAACCTTGGAAAATGTATCATACTTTCTACTTCAATAAGAGTGAATCATAAATCACATTTGATCCCTGTTTCCTTTATCATAGATTAAACCTTTTGTAAGAAAATTTTTATAGTCTACAATTTCAATAATTACTTTTATTAATTTAGTGACAAAAAAGCAGCAGTTCAGTCTGCCTCGTTTAGAACTGGTCTAACACTAACTTGTCCTTTAAACAGGAGTCTTCTGCTCTTCAGACAGATCTAACTAAATGTCTTAATTCTCCTGCCAGGAAAAAGTCTACACTTTTTTTTCTCTTTTATTTTTCTTGAAAAATCTAGCAATTTTCTTTAAAGAAAATAAAAATCCATTTACTTTATTGTCTTCCCAAGATATTCCAAAGATGTCTTCATTAATAATACTGTAGTTTCATGCAAATTACAGAAATTAGGGTAGTCATAATGATTCTTATTATAAAATAGCAAGAGGGGTACCCTATACTTCCTTTAATATCATGCTGTGGGTTTTTTTTTCCTTTCCCTTGCTCAACTGAAAAAAGAAATGTCTATTTACTTCTTTTCTTCTTTGCATAGCAAAACAAATGATGTAACATACAGCAGGCTCCACTGTCAACAATCATCATTAGCTGATAGACGTTCTTACCTGATACTGATATTGAACCTCTGTCACTAAGTGGCTGATGCCATATGAGCAGTACCTGGCAAGCTTCACTGTGGAATTATCTTCTCTAATTTGTTTCTGTCCAGGTTATTCCTTTGCTATGAATTTCTCTTACCCTGTGCAACAACAGTACACCTAGTATAACTTCCCCCAAATTCCTGTTTGCTCATTTGTGAGCAAACTTTCTGATTCACCGTCTGAAACACTCACACATATGCCATCAGTAACATTTTTGCTGTCTTATTTTTGAGATTCTTATTCCATGCATATTTAGAGAATATATTGGCCCCATCACACTTGTTAGTTTTAATTTTTATATGCTCCCATTTGACACCAGCAACCACTTTCATTTCACTGATACCTCCTGTTAGATGCTTCCAAAACTTATCCTCATATTCACTCCTTGTACTGATTTTTTTTTTCCCCCTGTGGAAACTACCCTTGAAATAAAAAAAAAAAAATAAATAATCTATTTACGTCTATTTATGATTTTTTTGTTCAGCATATGTAGTAATTCAGGACATAATTTGTCCAAGAAAGGCACTTAGTGAATTGATTTAAAATTTTTCACTGTTTTTCTAAGTAGGTGACCATGTAAAGTACCTGACAATTTCTCTTCCCATCAATGACACAACACTTACATTTGACTCAATTAAATGTATGTATGTCAAAGTTAATTCCTGATATAATTTGTTACAGAAAACTGCTTCAAACTATCTCAGCAAACAAATACCTAACTTGAAAATGCTTGAAACAATCTTCCTGACAATGCATACATGAAGAGGGACTCTTCATTAGGCACTGCAGTGATAGGACAAGGGGTAACGGGTTAAAACTTAAACAGGGGAAGTTTAGATTGGATATAAGGAAGAAGTTCTTTCCTGTTAGGGTGGTGAGGCACTGGAATGGGTTGCCCAGGGAAGTTGTGAATGCTCCATCCCTGGCAGTGTTCAAGACCAGGTTGGACGAGGCCTTGGGTGATATGATTTAGCATAAGATGTCCCTGCCCATGGCAGGGGTGTTGGAACTAGATGATCTTAAGGTCTTTTCCAACCCGAATTATTCTATGATTCTATGTATGAGTAATCATAAGGATGCATAAGAGTACCCAATGAGTAAAAAACATTTCAATAGGCCCTGTAGCTGTGTCTGCTGCAGACTAGAAAACCCATTTGAGAGCCTACTGATTTCTCTATAAAAACACCAGCAGGAACTCAACTAATTTTAAAATCAAAACTTAGGTCTAAAGTGTTTGCCCAGATATCACAGGTATATTCTTGTTCTTCTGTCATTTGGGCATGAATTTTTATACTTTCACAGCCCTCAAAGGATATTGGTTGACTGAAGGTAAACTAGTATAGCTCAGTGAAATATTTTTGATCTACACACTCCATACTGAGGAACTACAAATACTGATTTGCTGTATCACACTTCCAGACACAACATTCACTCCTTTTCCTGCATAGTGTTTCTCATGTGCTGACTCAAACAAAAATGTAATAAAAAAGACCTTGTGCAGGCAAAGGAATCTATCATTTAGAGTATTGAAATTGCATTATATAAAATCAAGTTCTGCTCTGGATCTCAGTGCCTGACTGCCTTAAAGTAAGGCCAGCTCTTACACCAGTGAAGAGTGCAGCCAGAAGGATGTTTTCACACTACAAAAAATATGAGTCAGTCCACATTTTTCAGCATTCTGTATTGGTGAGGGGAAAGAATTTTCCAAGTGAGAGAAATTGATCATTTCTGTTATTTTGTTGGTTTTGTTTTGTGTTAACTGGATAGAATATTTGATGCTGCTTTTGACTACTTAGCATGAAACCTAATACTAAACTGATAGCATTTGTGTCACTTACCTCAACCTCACCAATACTTCCAGAATCAGAAAAAAGATAATAAATAATATATCTCAATAGCCATTTTATATAAGGGTTCAACTAGTTTCAGGTAAAGTGCTTGATATTTCAAACTTACATTCTTCTTCCAATTTTGTTAGTTCGTTCTACTCTTACAAGATTTAGCCATTAAAAGCACTCATAAGTCACAAGAAGTAACTGCCAGAACATTCCCATGGCTCCAAACTCTCTCCCAGCAAGACACACACAAAATACTAAAGATTCTGTCTATGTCAGAGTGCCCCTTTATTAAAATGTTAATGTCATATTTTTAACCTGAGGATGTGAAAAAGAAAATACCTGCTAACTGTTGGTGAGTAGAGAGTCTCAGATTTCCCAAGATATTTAGTAATAACCAAATGAAAGAAGAAGAATGTAGGCACAGACCTTTGATTTAAGCTTTTATTACACTGCATGAATGTCAGAAGTAATAAATCTCTTTTTCTTCATGCAAATCAATGAGTAACGGAATGTATCTTTTAGAACTGCAAAATCATCCTAAAATATTAATGCACTTTTGTTATGAGAGGCATGCGTGTGTCAGACTAACATAGGATTTAAGGAATACATCAATGTGTAATTCTGAATATTGGAATGAACAGAAGTGAAAGTAAGGTAATTTTAAAAAAGAATATATTTTATTCACATATGAAATTATAAATCAGTAAAGTTTATATAGCAAAATGGATTGTCATTCCTTGGAACTGAATGGGTTAATGTCACAGTTCAATTCATAGGCTTAGAAGGAACATAACTGGTCTGTATGCAATAATATCAAAATATATTAAGGTCAATGATCCTCTCAGAGACTATACTTGGTTTCCAAATGTATTAGAATTGATTATATTCTCCAGATTCTTTAGGAGATAACATCTTCCAAATTCAGAACTCCTCTAACACATTCTTCAATATAGAACCAGCACTCTGCTTGCATACAACTGGAATGATGAAGTCCAGGTTCAGAGAACTGATGTCAACCCTGCTAGTAGGAAAAAAGCACAAGAAAATAATATTTTTCAGTGCATAAATTATTTTTAATAGGAAGTAGGATCATAGAACTAAAAGAGTCACCTGCATGACAGAATGTAGTTGCCTAATATTCCAGGTAAGTCTTTATTTAATAAGTGCACCAAACATTATGTACAGCTGTCAACATCATATTCACACTCTAAAAACATCTAAGCTTTCTATTCATATCCCTGATTTTCTTATGGCCATCTATACTCATTAGTTCTCATGCCAGCAATATAGCCTAGGTCCCTCACTAGTGCTTTCTTAGTCACTGAGCTTACTGACAGCAATTATTCTAGTTGACACCTCCATTTTCATATCACTAAGCTAAAGTTAGAAATTTTCTCAATTCTTCCTCCCACTTCGGTCAATCTTTTTCTCCAGACTGAATTAATTTTTGCTGAGTGTAAGGGACAAGTTATACACATGTAGGGAACAAGAATTACACACATTAAGGAATGTAAATTCCCATCTCTATAAGTAGTAGGCTAGAAAATATATTTCCTCATAATTTTATTGCTTTTTTCAAGTGCAAGACACTGAAGGACTTCAGAAAATTGCGCCTATGCCCAGTGGGACTGGATACCATGTTCTATATTCCATACACAAACCAAAATATATTCATTGATGGGGATAAATGCTGAAAGCAGACAACTAATGGGGATTAGCTACATTACTTTCCAAACTAAACATAGCATACAAGCAACCTGATCTAAAAAGGTCTGAAAACTACTTATTATTCCTTAGGGCTATATTCAGCATAGATAAAATATTGTTGGATAAGTGGGTTTGGAACTAGATGATCTTAAGATCCTTTCCAACCCTAACTATTCTATGATTCTATAAGTATTTCAGTACAGATCAAGAAATTGAAACTACAGCACAGAAATCCTTATCAAGTAGTGGAAGATTTATGTTGAAGCTCAAGCAGTTAGTTTGTATTTGTCTGTATTTGTGGGTACAATGCTCCCAGACACTCTCTTCAAAGATCATATTATATTTAACACATACATCCTTAAAACAAACTGTCGTGGTTTAAACCCTAGCCAGACAGCTTGTTCACTCACTCCCAGTGAGTGGTGCCTGGCTGAGAGCAATCGAGGCCCCCCTCCCCCCCCCCCAGGGGCTCTCCCCTTCCCCACTCCGGAGGAACTGGGAGGAGGATCGAATGAGTGCAACTCCCACAGGTTGAGACAAGAACAGTCCAGGAACCAATGTACAACACAAATCACCACCGCTACCACCACCAACAACGATAAGAGAAAATAACAGGGGAAGAGAATACAAGACCACCGGCCAAGAAATGAGTCCAACCCAGAAGCCCCTGTCCTTCTGGGTAACTCCCAGTTACCCCCACCCCAGGCATGACGTGCTGTGGTATGGAATACCTCTTTGGCTAGCCTGGGTCAGGCGCCCCCTCTCTGCTTCCTCACAGCTTCCCCTCCTCCCTGGCAGAGCACGAGCCTCACAAAGTCTTTGGTCAGGGTAAACATCACTTAGCAACAACCAAAAACATCGGTATCGTCAGCACTGTTCCCAGGCTGGAAGTCAAAACACAGCACTGCACCAGCTACCAAGAAGGAGAAAAATGACAGCTACCGCTGAACCCAGGGCAGAAAAAGATAGTGTATGTTCTTTTCTTAAAGCTTAGTTTTATCACATTTTAGGGAAGTTGCAAAACCACAGCAGAGAACAATTTCACATCTCATTTACCCAAAGAAGCTATTGATGAATCCAACTAAAGAATTGATGAGTGTATGAATTCAGTAAAAAAAAAAAGGATTCTTTTCATACTGTGAACTGTATAATTCGAACTGGAATTTTTGGAAAGCAGATATTTCTATTTTTTCTTACTGTAAAAATAACATAACTATACAACTGTATTTCCTGTTAACTTCATAGAACAAGAGAGCAAAAACAAAACTCTTCTAGACTTTCAGAAATAATCTATGTGAAAAAAAAAGTAATGTCACTTTGATAAAATTGATATAATTACCTTCAGCTTATTATAACATTGCAGATTCAAGAACCAAATTTCTTCTTTTCTTAAGCGGATAAAATCTTTGTCATAAATTTTATTATTATAAGGTCAAAGGAAAACATACAGATTTGATTCAGGGGTGAAAAGTTCATAAAATTATGACTTTTTGGTCATATGTAATCCTTCCCATCGCACGGTCAGAAATGGCAACTTTGAAATTTCTTCATTAAAAGGCTGTGTTATTTTTTGTTAAATAAAGGAGTGAAAATATAAGCCAAATTAATTATTCATTTTTCACCTAAACTTTTTTGTCTTAGCATTCTCAAAGTTTTTCCTAAATGGCAATACTGTATATGTTGTTGCATACCTTTTTTAGGGTTCTTTAGTCAAAATCTTACTGCTTTGAATGTCCACTACACTAGGAATTCTGCTTATTTTGTTTAAAAACATACAGTAGTTACCACGATGCTTATTCTTTTACCTCCTGGCAAATAAAAGATGGAAAACTGTTTTCTAAAAAAAGGAAAATAAAACAAAAAAATAAAATCAAGGTGACCTTTTAAGCTGAGGCTTTATTTTCTGAACTAGCTGAGACTTAATTGAACTAGTTGCTTGTCATTCTAGGTGGTATCAGCACTCTTTAAGATTCTTGCAACATTAATGTAGGGAATGTTATCTAAGGATAGCAAAAATATTTTCATTTTATTTAGTGGTCTTATTTGCATCTCCAGTAAATGCTATTATTTGCATGCAGCACTTGGATATGGTAAACAGAATGAGACAACAGCTGAAAGAGCACTTGAAGAATAGAATTCATTCAGCAGACAGTCATTAATGCTATTCGGATAGAGACACAATCGTCAGAAGTACTAGGAAAAGCAAGGAAACGGTACAGACTAAGAGCAGCAGGACCTGGATTACAAGAAAAAGAAGGGGGTGAAAACTGTTGTTGAGGATTAAAAAAAAAAAAATCTTTTTATAGATCTCTTCTTTCAGCACTTGATGGAGCATTTTGAGGCTAATAGGTAGCATTAA